TTATATGTCAACCAAAGAGTGGTAACAGAGATCTCCGGGGTAGAATTAGTGTCAAAAAAGAGGTCATGTGCATCTAATATAAATTTCTGGTTTTCCGGGGTATTTAAAAGTGCAGAGTTAAGTCTCCAAATAGGTGGAATCGCCAACCTTCGGTTGTCATCCAAGACTATGGTGATCGGTGCGTGGTCAGACCAGGTGATAGTACCGATGCTGGAGGAAGTCACGTGTTGCAGAGTCCATTTATCGGTGATAAACATGTCAATTCTAGAATATGAGAGATGGGGGATGAAAAGTAGGTGTAATCTCTTTCCGTACCATGTTGGCATCTCCATATGTCGTATAGGTCATGGTCGTGCAGGAAGGGGTTGAAGTTAAGGTTACAGGATTTCTTACTAGAGGAAGAGTCTAGTAGTGAGTCACTGATAACATTAAAGTCTCCGCCAATAATAAGTCTACCTTGTTGATGTTGGGAGATGAGAGTATAGAGTTTCCGATAGAATTTAAGTTGCTTACTATTAGGGCCATATACGTTCACCAGGGTGTAAGAGATCTCATTAATTTGGCACGTCAATATGATATAGCGGCCTTGCGGGTCGATTAGTGTGGAGGTAAGTTTAAAAGAAAGAGCGTCGTTAACAGCGATAATAACACCATTCTTCTTTTTGATATTTGTTGCCATGAAGAGTTGAGAGAAGCGATGTAGATAGAGTTTAGGGACTTTTTCTGTGGCGAAGTGCGATTCCTGTATGAAGAATAGGTCCGTTTGAGATTTCCGGATTTCTCTTGATAGCATCAATCTCTTGAAAGGGGAGTTGAGGCCCCACACATTAAGAGATGTGATGGTAATCATTCGTAAATGAGTTCTCGAGGTACAAATATACTTGGGGTGTTTTTTTTGCTAGTGTTCGTTACGGTCACGAGGGTGAAGGTTTGTGTCAAAAATGTATAGTCAGTGGTGCCATTGGAAGGGATGGGTGGGGAGGGAAAAATAACAATAAAAAAAACACTTGCACATAAAGCAAGTAAACAGTGTAGCCAGGATTGCTACATCAAAAAAAGGGGGGTCAAGCAGGATATGACCCTCGGATGGGTCATATCTAATCAAAACCTTGAATTTCAGAGCCATAGGGTTTAGGCCGATCGCCAGAATTAGGAGTATTCAGGTATCGCCTCCAGAGAAAAAATACAGAGAGAGAGATGTAAACGCGGCTGGTGCCGCTAAGCCCTTCAGGTTGCTTCCATGTTTTGAACGGAACCAGGGTTGTTCTTCTGTGGATCAGCAGGTAAAATGCTCCAGGCCTTAAGGAAGATCCAAACCGGCCTCTAGGTTTTTAATAGTATAGATTCTGCCCTGGTGACGTACGATTAATTTAGTGGGGAATCCCCATTGATAGGTCATATTGTGGTTTCTAAGCGCTTTCGTGATGGGTATCATTTTTTTCCTGTTGGAAAGCGTGGCCTTAGATAGATCAGCATAAAGACGCAGAGTCGCATGTGAGGATGGGAGTGGAGGTGGATTTCTAGCCGCCAACATGATTTTCTCCTTAATATGGTAGAAGTGTATTCGGACGAGCACGTCCCTAGGAATGGTTGCTGACAAGAATGAAGGCTTAGGTAGTCGATGTGCTTGATCGATTATGGCCTCTACGTCAGAGAGTGTTGGGATTAACAGCTTGAGGAAGTGATGTAGATATGGTAATAATGCTTCGTTAGATACCGTTTCTGGGATCCCTCTGAATTTTATATTATTGCGGCGTGATCGATCCTCTATATCGGCCAATTTTAGATTGATTTGTTCGATATCTGACGTGTGGTCAGAATGAGCATCAATCAAATCATTGTGTGCTTCCACTATATCCGCTATGTTGGTTTCAATATGGCGGATCCTGCGTTCCTGTCTTTGCACCAGATTGGTAATTTGGGTCATTGGTGCAGAAATATCGTTATGCAGAGTTTGGCGCAGTAGTGCTAGCATGTTCTTCATGGAGATTTCAGTTAGAGGTTGGTCAGATGCTGGAAATGTGTCTATGTCAGGCAGGGTGGGGTATGGAGGCTGAGGCGGAAGGTTTAGGGCCTGGCAGGTGTCAGCAGGGTCACTATCAAGTCGTGGCCTTGATTTAACTGGGCTGCAGGACGTGGGTGACAGTGGGGGTGACAACTCACCCGGGTCCCCTGGATAGAGCTGTTGCTGCAGCCTGGGATCCACAGGCTGGGATCTGTAGTCCTCCTCCTGGTTACTGCAGTGTCCCTGCATGTCCGCATGGCGGCCGCCATCTTGGATTCCCGTCTGAACGGCCGGGAAGAAGTGGGGTTAATTTCCCTGGTTGCCCCAGGCTTTTTTTCCTGCGGGGCATGTCCAGTGGCCTGCGGGCACCTTCCGGGAAGTGCCGTGAGTAATTTGTTTTCCCTGGGGTCGTAGTGTGCCGCTTCAGCGCTGGCGGGTGGACGGAGCTGTGCTTATACCGCGTCCATCCCCGAGCCGGCCGCGCATGCGCCCCCCAACTTACAGACTTTAAAGGGGTAATCTGATTGTGGCAGGATATTTAAATTTTTGCATGGATCCAGAGATGGATGCTTCATCATGCTCACAGAGAGAGGGATATAGGAGCCTAAAGAATTTAAAAAAAAAGTTGCATCAATGTCAGTTGATGGACACTTCGGGGGTTAACCATCCTAGAGAAAAAAGTCTATACCTTCTTCTGTGTGTGGTGCATAGGTTGTATTCAAGATTGCATTATATGTTGATTGAACATAGACTCTTGGGGGTTTATTTACTAAAGCTGGAGAGTCCAAAATCAGACTCCCTTCTGCATAGAAACCAATCAACTTCCAGGTTTCATTGCCAAAGCTTCATTGAACAAGCTGAGGTTAGAAGCTGATTGGTTTCTATGCAGAAGGGAGTCTGATTTTGGACTCTCCAGCTTTAGTAAATAAACCCCTTGGAGTCCTTGGTGAAAACTAACATAGAATTAATATCTATATCGGACCATGCCCCTGTCACAATGAGACTATGGTTTGGAAGGGAACAAAACAAAATAAATACGTGGCGATTAAATGAGACTATTTCACAAGACCCGGAAATGGAAATAAGAGTAAAGCAGGAAATTGAACAATATTTTAAGTTTAATGAGCCTGGGGAGGTTTCAGTTGCCACCGTATGGGAAGCACATAAGGCCTATATTAGGGGTACACTGATTGCGAAAGGGGTGGAGAAAAAGAAAGAATGGGGAAAAAAATTAGGGCATTAATGGAAGAACTATATCAGTTGGAACAATTGCATAAAAAGAAAATAAATATAGATTTACAACAGGAGATAATATTAAAAAAGGAAGAGTTAAAGGATCTTGTGGAACAAGAAACAAGGAAGATTTTTAATAGGGTTTTGAAGGAAAGATATCGGTGGGGGAATAAACCTGGGAAACATTTAATTAAGAAAATCGAGGAATTTTATTGAAAGAGTTAAAAATGAAAAAGGTGAAATGGTTTATTCAACCACCGATATCGCTAACACATTCCAGAGATAAAATGTGGTCTATACAGTGCAGAATTTAAGAACCAAAAGGAATCAGAGGAAGAGAGAAGGGGAAAAAGTCAAATATATTTGAATGAGGTAGGTCTACCTAGATTGGATGAAGTTAGACTAACAGCTTTAGATAGCTTAATTGCAACAGAAGAAGTTAACTTAGCACTGAGAGTACAGCTGCAGGTAAGAGCCCCGGATTTACTGTTGAATTTACTGTGGGATATTAGAAGAAGTTCAAGAATACCTAATCCCTAAACTGTGTATATACATGAATGCATTGGGAGAAGAGAGAGAGATGAGAGAGGAGTCGCTACAGGCACATATCACAGTAGTATCTACTGTAAGGAGGGGAAAGATTGGTCTCAGTGTACCAGTTACAGACTTTTATTTATTTATTAAATACCGATACACAATTATATGTGAATGCCCGATTGGATACACTTAGACCAAGAGGGATTTATCTCGGGTAGAGAAAGAAGGGACAACGGACTAAGAACATTGCTTATCCTGCAAAAGAGTGGAAGAGGAGAGGTGCGGGGGGTCATTTTTTTGATCAATGCTGAAAATGCCTTTGATAGAGTAGATTGGGTATTTATGATAGATACGCTGAAGACGTTAGGAATTGGGCCCAGAATGATGTGGTGGATAAAAGAGTTATATAGAACCCATCAGCCTCAATGAAGGTTAATGAATCATTATCAAAGTTTTCAGGATGTATAATGGAACAAGACAGGGATGCCCACTCTCTTCGTTGTTTGTGATTTCCTTGGAACCGCTATTAGCAACCATAAGAAATAGCATAATTATTAAAGGAATGTGGATAGGGGATGTCGAGCATAAAGTGGCAGCATATGCAGATGATATGCTGTTTTATATTACAAACCCTAGATTAACATTAGCAAACTTAATGAGAAAAAAGATTATGGAGAGTTATGAAACCTGAAAATTACCGTATTTTTTGCTCCATAAGACTCACTTTTTTCCCCCCAAAAAATGGGGGAAAATGTCTGTGCATCTTATGGAGTGAATATGGAGTGGCCGGCCCAGTATTCCCACCGCCGCCGTGTTAGAATACTGGGCCGGCCGCTCGGCTCTACTGTGCAGAAGAACCCGCTCCTCCATCCTACCTATTCCTCAGTCCAGTGGTGTCCTGCTTCCATCGGCCGTCTTCTTTCCCCGGCGCCGGCATCTTCAGTTTGGGCACCTGGCTGTGACAGCTTGCAGCTTCACAGCCGGGTGCCCACTGCTCATGCGCAAGAAGCGCTGCGCTTAGTGAAAGGCCCTGTAGTCTTGTGGAACCTGTCACGTGTCCCACAAGACTACAGGGAGGGAGGGGGAAGAACAACTCCACGGACGTGGGAGTGGGTACCTGTCAAATTCGGGTACCTGCTCCCCCCTCCCCAAAGGTCTGCAGTCTCTGGTCATCTCCTGTAGGACATCTGTAGTCTCTGGTCATCTCCTGTAGTACATCTGCAGTCTCTGGTCATCTCCTGTACTATGTTTGCAGTCTCTGGTCATCTTCTGTAGTACGTCCACAGTCTCTGGTCATCTCCTGTACTATGCCCGCAAGTCTCTGGTCATCTTCTGTACTATGTATGCAGTCTCTGGTCATTTCCTGTAGTACGTTTCGCAGTCTCTGGTCATCTCCTGTACCATATCTGCAGTCTCTGGTCATCTCCTGTACCATATCCACAGTCTCTGGTCATCTCCTGTACTGTGTCTGCAGTCTCTGGTCATCTCCTGTACTGTGTCTGCAGTCTCTGGTCATCTCCTGTACTGTGTCCGCAGTCTCTGGTTATCTCCTGTACTATGTCTGCAGTCTCTGGTCATCTCCTGTACTGTGTCCGCAGTCTCTGGTCATCTCCTGTATTATGTCAACAGTCTCTGGTCATCTCCTGTATTGTATCCGCAGTCTCTGGTCATCTCCTGTATTATGTTCACAGTCTCTGGTCATCTCCTGTACTATGTCTGCAGTCTCTGGTCATCTGTAGCATGTCAGCAATCTCTGGTCATCTGTAGTATGTCAGCAGTTTCTGGTCATCTCCTGTACTATGTCCGCAGACTCTGGTTATCTCCTGTACCATGTCTGCAGTCTCTGCTCATCTCCTGTACTATATCTGTAGTCTCTGGTCATCTGCTGTACTGTGTCTGTAGTCTCTGGTCATCTCCTGTGCTGTGTCCACAGTCTCTGGCCATCTTCTGTACTGTGTCCGCAGTCTCTGGCCATCTCCTGTACTGTGTCCGCAGTCTCTGGTCATCTCCTGTACTGTGTCCACAGTCTCTCTGGTCATCTCCTGTACTGTGTCCGCAGTCTCTGGTCATCTCCTGTACTGTGTCTGCAGTCTCTAGTCATCTCCTGTACTGTGTCCGCAGTCTCTGGTCATCTCCTGTACTGTGTCCGCAGTCTCCGGTCATCTCCTGTACAGTACACAGTGTCCGCAGTCTCTGGTCATCTCCTGTAATATGTCTGCAGTCTATTGGTTCACAATTTTTTTTCTTGTTTTCCTCCTTTAAAATCTAGGTGCGTCTTATGGTCAGGTGCTTCTTATGGAGCGAAAAATACAGTAACACCTAAAAATGTGAGATTTTAAATATTAATGTCTCAAAGGTTGAGAAATACATTTTACAAAAAGAATTCCCTTTGACATGGAGTGGAAAAAGAATTAAAGTATTTGGGAATAAAATTAACATCACCCATAAAAAATATATATCAGGTAAACTATATCCTATTAATAAATGAGATAAAGGATGATTTGAGGAAAATCTCAATGGGAATGCTGTCCTGGATAGGCCGGATAAATATTATAAAGATGATCATAGTACCAAAAGTCTTACATAAATTTAATTTGCTTCCAATATACCTACCAGGGTCTTTTTTCACGATCCTTAAAACATTATACTCATTTATGTATGGGTTAGCAAAAAAACAAGAGTTAAATATAAAGTTTTATGCAGTAATAAAAGAAAAGGGGGATTAAATATGCCAGATTTTAAGAGATATTATAATTCAGTGTTAATATCATGAATTGCAGAAGGGATATATAATGCACAGGGGAGGAGTTGGGTAAAAATACAGAGTACATTTAGTAATGCACCACTAGATAGGATTATTTGGATACCACATAAATTCTGCACTATGGATGAAGATACAAGCAAATATTAAGGATTTGGCATGAAATGCACAAGCAGGAGGATTGGAAGTTTAATTAATTGTCAATTCCATTGGTAAAAACAACGTTTTTCCCACCCGGGAATGATAATATTTCAGGAAAATGGATAAATGATAGAAATGCACGTTTAAAAGATATTGTAGATAAGGGAGTATTATGTTCTTTACATGAATTAAAAAATAAAGAAATATTTTCTACACTGGATGAATGGCGATATTATCAAATAAGACATTTTGCTGCAATGCTCCCACAGCCTTAAGGACTGAGGAAGATATTTATCCTTTAATACAAAATACAAAAACATGCTACCTCCAAGATTTCCAAATTCCTTACTGAAATAGATGGACCAGTGTCCCAAATGTTTCTGGATATGTGGGAAAAGGAGTTTGGGACAAAACTGAATGAGCAACAAAAACATAAAATGTTTAGATTAACACATGGGGCGGTGAATATATGAACATAGTTTAAATGAATTATAAATGTCTGGTAAAATGGTATATTACACCTAATATAACATATAAGCTAAGACCAGAGGTCTCACCCCAGTGTTGGAGAAGGTGTGGGAGTAAGGGTACAATGGTACATATTTGTTAGGATTGTCCTAAAATACAGGAGTTTTGGTGGGGGATTATTCAATATGTACAAGGGATACTGAAGAGTAGTATACTGTTAGACTCGTGGTTTGCTTATTTCATAAATCAGAGATCTCAGTGAAGCAATATAAAAATACAATATATATATATGAGATGGAAGGATTATATCACATAGATGAGGATAAATCTGAAAAATTTTAAAAATCCTGGGAAGAATGTCATAATTTTAAAAAAATCAAAAAGATATTTTGAAGTGGTTGGATTATAATGAAAAAAAGAAAGTAAATAAGAAAATGGCAAAGGAATAATAGTATGGGAAATATAAGAGATAAGGAAAAGGATAAGAGGGGGAAAAAGCTAGATAGAACAACATCAGAAGAACAAGAAGTAAATGAAAATGTTAAGAAGAATAAGGGAGGTGGAAGAGTAGTGGACGGGGGGGGGGGGGGGGGGGTGTTAAAAGGGTGATGGGGAAAGATAAATACATATTTTTATTTTATTTTATGATGTTTGATATAAAGTGGATTTTGTATTATAAAATTAATAAAAACATTAAAAAAAAAATATAGGGCAATAGGTACACTGCTGTTAACACAACAGATTCTGGATGATCACTTTGGATGTTACCATATGACAAGACATATATTGGCTATGATTCTTGGGCGTTTTGGTTGCCATAATCATACTCTGAACAATCATATTTGGTATAACGTTAAAATTTGCACACTGTCATTGGGAACTTACGTGATCAATCAGCAGGCTTTTAGCCAAGTACATTGTGAATGATCATGGTTGCAGGCAGTTAAAAACAGTATGGATACACAAAAAAAAACTCATTATCTACTGACACTGTTTATCCTACATGAAATCTTCCTCATGGCATTATATTTTCTGTGTGAAACCTATTTAAACAGTCACTCGTCTGTGGAATGCATCTTCCTCTCGGACATCTCTATGAAGGCCATTACCCTCAGAACTTTCCTTTGTCAGTTATCATATTGTATTACCACTTCAAGTAATAACTAGTTATCTGTTACTATAAACTAGTTTATATAAATAGATAAAAGCACAATTTCATTTTGATTTGTACATTTTTTTAACCTGTGGAATAGATCACAGAAGGTAATTTAGCTTTATCTGGGCAGTGGAGGAGGGAAGAAAGGGTTTGTAAAATCAATCAGAAATACATTTACAGAAATACATCAACTTTTTCAGAATTAGCCAGTTAAGAGCTTTTGAATGAGTCAAGTGGATCTCCAAGAATCCCACTGCTTAGTTGCTATATTTAATCACATAAATATAATTCAGACTGGAGTGGGTGCACTGTAAAATAGGCAGATGTGTTATGCAACCAATACTTTCTTTTCACAGAAGACAATGCACAGAAAAACAGATAGAGACTGAAGATGCCTAAGATGCTTACAACAGCTTTAACATATATCTTGCATTTTCTTTTTAACATTATTGGATAATTGAAGTACATACTTTAGTACATCAACCTGAATGAAAGAAAGTTATAACTATCATATACTACATACAAAACGAGAGAAGCGTACTGCAAGATTTAAAGGAGAACTGTCATAGTTTTTGGTTAGCTTAATTCAATTATTTGTTTAAACCCATTTTCACCCATGATATCTGAAAAAAAAAAACCCTTAGCCCAAGAACATGTAAATAAATATTCTACCCTATAAGCACCATAAGACAGTATTTTGCTCAAAAGCTTTTTTTTTATCTCAGCTATCAGTGACAGCTGCAGTCCCCACTGATGATCAGGAACCAATCAAATTGGTTCCAAATAATGTGATCACGATGTCAGCTCTGACACAGCAGTCACATACAGGCTAGAGGCTTCACTGACAAAACTTCAGTCTTCAGCCTTCATATGAGCAATGACATCCTCAGTTTTCATCTGCAGTGTCATGTATTTAATAGCGAAAATGTCAAGTATGCTTGCTGTATTAAAATAAAAAAAACAAAAAGAAACCTTATTGTCTGACAACCACAGATGTAAAAACAAAGAGGTTATTCATACTGTTCAAAACAAAATCTCCAAATAATATAAACCATTTTTTTTTATCACAAATCTTCTTTGTCAGAGAAGACTGCAAGATTAATGAATAAAATACACTTTTATTACTGGGACTTTTTTTAAATCCTGCAAAATATTGACTAGTTTTGTGGCACAGCTGTGTCTGCACCAGGAAAGCAGGATTAAACTATATGCACTCATCTTGTAAAACAACCCATTGCCTTTAAAATAGAAATGAAAGGCAAAACATTTGTGTATAGATGTATAAAAATGTATAGACACTTGTTTAACCTTTTTTTTAAGTGATCACATACCCTCTGTTCTCAGCTGCATAAGAGCAGGGGGACGAGAAACATCAGCACACTGATCTTCCCAAAGAATGGCTGTGAGGGGGGGGGGGTGTTAGGACAAGTCTGATCATTGGAGGAGAGCAGGTACAGCTAGAGAATTGACCACAGTGTGTTCTCCTGCTTAGTGTGATCAGTTTGGAAAGTAGAGGACCTGGCAAAAACACCAGAGATTTCACACAAAGGAAGCATAACAAAGAGAGCAGGATACTTTTTCATACAAGTACATGGTACAACAGGCAGATATCAGGAGTATGAAATGGGCTTACATACTCTTTAAGTATGAATTCACACTGACTGGACAGCTGTTGGAGAGGTAAACAGCAGTGCTTTACCCTACGGCAGCTGTCTTTTTTCCGTCTGCAGTAGAGGGAAATCTGGTGTGCGATTCAGTGCTCCACACAGCTCTATTTTTTTGACAAAAATCTATTTGAAGTGCACAAAAGTGACACATCATTCACGTCGTTATACAGCAGCATGGTGTGCTGTGCTACTGTACAGTGACATGCAATCCTGTATGGTGCACTGCAATAAAATGTAACATGTCTGCATTTTATCGCAACTGCAGGCTACATTTCAGTGTGAATAGGAGATACAGAAAACAATTGTTTTCTGTGTGTCCTAGTAGTGATTGGTGTTTGACAAGTAAAACGCTAGTCGCCACTAGTGATGGGTTGCATGTTCGAGTTGAATGTAAGTTTGATGCGAACTTGGGCAACACGAACAGTAAGGGTGTTTGGTGGGCTGTTCGTCCGCCGCTGCACCCCACAATTCACTGCGCCCTGACAATGCATTGTGATTAGCCAAAGGGCATGATG